TCTAACAACCTATTTACTAGACTCAACACAGCCACCAAGCTTTTCGAAATGAAATTTCTACATGCAAAAAACATTATTCAGTGAATCAAAAAAGTAGAAAGTAAAGTCCTTTTTATAGTACTTTTCAAGTCTAGGAAATATTATACCTTAGAAGCTAACATAATACTATTATATGTATTGATGACTAGCTCGCTCTAATATAAAAGGAAAGAAAATACGAGAAATAAAAAAAAAATCAAAGGTTCAAAATAAAAGAAAATTAGGACTAGCTAGATAAAGTACATTGGTCTTGTAATCAATCAATTTATGACAATTTTTATTTATGAAAATTTTTGTCTTCTTGGCTGGCCTGGCCAACCTATCACTGTAGGGGCCTTAAATTAAACTTTTTAATTATTCTCTCATAATTTTAATAAGATTATGGGATGTCCATGAGTTTGCATTCAAAGTTATGCATGGTGAATGGCCAAAAATTTTAATGTAGAACATTGGTTTGTGATCATGTCCTAAGCCTTTATGTAGGTGCTACATCAAGATTAAACATGGACTTCTTTCTAATTGCACCTCCTTTTTTATACATCTATCATCCCATTCTTCTTTTATTAAATTTCCTCCTTCATTTCCCTATAGCTATACCAATCTAAATAGATTTTATTTAGTCTCTACTAGATTAGAAATCCTTAATTCATGCTAAGGGTTGCCTAATTTTATCTCTTGAACTTCTAAGAAATCTTCAGAACTTTCTGTAGGTGTACTAATCAAATGTCGAAAGCATCTAGTTAAAGCTATAAATTTATATTCATTTTTCAATACTAATCATCCTCCTTGCATGAATCTCATAAATATATCATGTATTTGTAGTCTTACAAATGGTAGTACAAAAAATTCACTAAATACTTCTATAAACACAATCCATAAATTATAGAATTTAGCCTTTCATGAAAATTTTCTTGTTGGCCCAACCATCTTTTTGCTTCTCCTTCAAACACATACAATCTAAGAAAGTTCACTATCCTCTGAGTACTTTATTTCAGCAAATACCTTTTAATTTCTAATTAACTGATTTTCAGCTAAGAGTGGTTCTATCTTCCCTTCAAACAAAGGCGGTTTCATACTTTGAAGTAAACTGATGTCTATCAACCATTTCATCTATACTCGTTCATTCTACTTTGTGCATTTCATGATAACTATGTTACTATATTAGATAACTAAATTATTAAGTTTAACAATATTTCTAAAATACCTTTAGTTTCCAACATATTATTATCATCAGCTTATTCACGTTGCATTATTGATTGTTTAGAACTTTGATCATTAGTGAAATCTTATTGTTTGTTTACGAAATAGTCCAACAACTATTAAACAAATATATTTATTGCGTATGCACATTAATTTTAGACAAGTTCCTTAATTTATTTTAAATAATCATAATGTCATAAAAAGGAAATTTAATGGCAAATAAATAAATAAACAGGTACCTTAATTTGTACTACCATCCTTATGCACCTCAATCGTAAGCAGTAGATAAATCCAACCGCTCTTATCCTTCTCTGTCAGGAAAAACAGCCTACCCATGCCGACATTAAACGTGTGATAATCCCGACCAACCCTAACAACACTTAATTTATCTAATCTTCCACTTCTTATTCTTCTTTGTTATTCAATTCTATAACTTATGTCTTATAATTAATCCGCCACGCATCAATACTAATCTCAGAGAAAATTCCAAATATGAGGGCAGCAAGATTTTAAATATTCCAATTTAACATCGAACTCGAACACATTTCAGGTCTATAAATATTTATGCACAAACACTAACGAAGAACTCCTATGAGAAGACAGCTTCCAGCTTCTGATTAAAGCAATGGCACTGGGAGAATCTCTGTCTTCTACGCCAACTTGGTCTGTTGCTATTGTCACAACTGTCCTCGTAATCCTTTCTCTGCTCATTGAGCACTCTCTCCATATCCTAACTCATGTACTCTCTCTCTCTCTCTCTCTTACTCGCCCTTTCCTTTCTCTCTCTTTCTTTCGTTTGGATTTATGAAAATAACTTTGATTTATAAGCTGATATACGCTATGTAGTTTGTTGATAGAAGAAAAAGGAAGAGTCTTAAACAAGCTGTATGCCAAATAAAGGCAGGTGAGAATTCAAGCTATATTTGTGTTGGAATATATTTATCTAATTTCAGAAGTAATCATTTTGTAAAGAAAAGTTTTGTTGACAGAATTGAGAAATTTGGGGTTCATTTCTCTACTGCTGACTATGGCTCAACAACCCATATCTAAGATCTGTATCTCTGTGAGCATGGCTGACACTTTCCTTCCTTGTAAGGAAAAGCCGCCTCTTCCGACCACAAGCTTTGACAACGTGGAGAATGCAAATACATGCGTGAAGAAGGTAGGTGGGAAACTAAGAACAAATCTATTGAGGCCCGCTTATGTCTATTTAGTTGCTTGTGCATATAGAATAGGTTTTAAGAGAATATGTAATTTAAAGATAATATGGATTTTGAACTTTATAATTTCAAGAATATATAATAATGATTCTTATTTCTCATAAACAATATTGAAAATAAAATAATTATTTTTTATAACATGGTGTAAAATAAAGCAATTTTTATAAGTAAATTAACTTGGTAAATTCCAATATTTGGTCTGATTAAATTAGTAATAATTAAGTATGATTTAAACTTGGAGTTCTCAGATTTAGAGATTTCTTCTGCTCAAAATGGGGGAAAAGGGAAAGAGGGAAATAATTTACTGGATCAGATCTAAGATTATCAATGAATACTTCTGATTTCTTTGAAATCCACGTGAAAATCAAACATTCTGAAATTACCCACAACCATATAGTTATCAAAGTCTTGATGAAATTGTTTCTGTTCAATCGTGTTAAATAAATTGATAATTACATTATACTATATATTAATAAAATGAGTTATTATTTTAGTTTAATTTAATTTAATCCATTCAAAAACTACCTTTTACTTTTTTTTTTAATTATTTTAATAAATTTTACTAATTTTTGTTGCAGGGTAAACTGCCACTTATGTCATCTGATGGAACACAGCAGCTGCAGGTTCTGATATTTATGCTGGCGATTTTCCACGTCGTTTCCTCCCTTCTTACTTTGGGTCTTGGGGAGATCAAGGTAATTTTTTTTTCAGTTTAAATATTTTTGCTCTTTTTTTTTTTACTTTTTTAATAGTTTTTCTAGCTTAATTGCTATTTTTTCAGACGAAGAAATGGAGAAAATGGGAAGAAGAGGCTCGCAGTCTGGAATACCAGTTATCAAATGGTGAGATTTTTTGCAGTATAGAGAAAAAAATATTTAAAATGACAATCATTCTCTTGATTTTATTATTGTTTTCTAAAAAGAAAATAATTAAACAGATCCGAGACGATTTAAGCTCGCTAAACAAACATCCTTTGGGAGAAGGCACATGCAGTTTTGGAGTAACCACGGGTCACTTCTCTGGATTGTTAGTCTGAGAATAAACACTGCGCTTAAACAATGCAATAAAAATATTATTTTTTTAATTATTCGCCTTTTTATAAATTATAATTAAGCACGGCTATACTATTTTCAGGTTTGTTTTGTGAGGCAATTCAAGAATTCTGTATCACGAGCTGATTATTTTGCTCTTCGAAATGGCTACATTGATGTAAGATATAATTGAGGAGATTAGTAATTTTGAATTTAAAAAAGCAAAAAAGGATAAGGTAACAATTATAGGGATTCAATCTGTTGCAGGCTCATCTTGGCCCAAAGTCAGCTTATAATTTTCACAAGTTTCTTAGAAGATCTTTGGATAAAGATTTTAAAGGGTTAGTTACAATCAGGTAATTATAAGATATGCACTTGGGTTACCTTTACCTTTATTGACAATAACATTTTAATGTGTAAAAAATAAAATTTTTAGTAGTTGACTTTTTGGGTAAGAACAACATTATCTTTTCTTAAAGATATTTTATTTAACATTCTATGTATTAACAATCCATTTTTACCTGCTTTCTTTCCACAACACTGCAGCCCTGCAATCTGGACGGCTGTCAACTTGTTTATCTTTTTCAACGCTCATGGTAATGTATTTTATATGCATGTTTTTCTCAACTAACAATTGTTGTTTAAAAGCTTTTACCAATTTTCGTTGTTAAACAATTTACTTTCTGCTTCATTGCAGTCTTTAACAACCATTACTGGCTTCCTTTTATCCCGTTAGTGGTGAGTACATATTCAATAAGAACTAAGGAAATTCAACTCAGATATAATATTCTGTGATGTGTAATTTAATTTTTATATTTGCATGACAGTTTTTTTGCTTTTTCACTTGATTATATTTTCAATTATTTCAATCAAACTGAATAATCAAACTGTTAAACTTTAATTTAACAATGTAATTTGTGAGAAGCAAATGATTTAATGTAGATGCAATGGTAGCATTCTAATAGTTAAATAGTTTTATAATGCTTATCTGCATGCAGTACTCAAATAAAATGAAAAATCTTAAGCACGGTAATATGATTTTTATGAAATTTATAATTGCCTTTATTTTAAAGGAAATTTTATCAAAAAAATAATTTTATTTGATGCATGCTTTATCATCCATTTTCTAATAACATTAGGTGATGGGTCAAACATTCTTATATACCTATATGTGTTAGATCCAAATTTAATTATGAATGACGTAGATGACCTGGAACTTGTGTAGGAATGAAGAGAAATAGAGGAGAGAGAGAGAGAGAGAGAACACATCCACTAACTCAAATATTTGTAATACATGAATTCAAGCTATTAGAGAGCTACAAAAGATGCCAAAAGATCCATAAAAGAGAAAAATTCCTTAAATGCTCGTCTTCACCACTTATTTATACGATCTAAGGACATTAAAAATGTCTACATCCATAAATAAAAGAAAAAAAAAATACAATGCTACACATATTACCTTTGATGTGTACGTGCTGCTCTCTAATTGATTGGTTGAGTGAAGAGAGACTCAATATTGTTATGGTAAATAGTTGTGGGCTCCGAAAATTCTGCCACAACCTCCGCTCGCTATGCTTTTTTTTCGGTGGAATTTTAATAGAATAAAGTTTCGGGGTAAATTTTTAGAAGGCAAATGGGTTTGTAGATAAGACACTACCCAGAGATCTCACCCTCATTTTGCGAGGACTTTTAAAATGTGACTTCTGGTTTCCAATAGGCGTGAGCCTCTATAGTTAATAAACACTCTCGATAACGAGAGAGAACTTTTGATTAAGGCTAGTCGTCAATAAAATACGTAGAGATACGTGCTATCAAGCATATAGTAACATCATGGGCAATGTGTATTTGAAAATGGTTGAGGGTTTGAAGATTGAATATTTAAAATAGAAAATTCACCATCTTGCACTTAAAGCGGATGGTGAGGGAATAGATGATAGAACCGATCAAGATCCCATGGTTCCGTCGTCCCGGGCCATCGTGGACCCTGGTCTACTTAGTAAAAGGTGGTAATCGACCCAACCTAACAGAAGGATCCTTGTCGGCAACCATGGGTTGCTTCGTCCAAGGTTACCTGATAGACCTGGGGTGAATATTTGTTTAAGGGGACAAATTTGAATCCAACTTAGCTAACAGAGGGCTTTGTGCCCTATCGATCATATCCTATATATACATATCTCAAGTATTTGATGCCATTACGGAGCAAATTGACTCTGGTCATGATCGGTATTTCGTGGTGCCATTTGGCGGCAAAACTACTCAGTTCAGAGGGCCCCGGGTCATAACCGTTTATCCTGTGGTGTCATTTGGTGGCAAAATTGTAGGTCATAGGACACGTACCACGTCCTTACTAGTAGGAGATTATTTGAGAATTGATCATAGTGATATTTTTTACTAGACAATAGCTCCTTATGAGACGAAGTAAATAGGGGTGTCAATTTTGAGTCAAAGGTTGGGTTCGAGACGAACGCAAAATTGACCCGACATTATTCGGTTCGGGTCGATCAGACCCATTTTTTGTAAATGGGTCAATTTTATGGACCTGAACCCGACCCACTTCGGGTTCGGGTCAACCCGACCCGACCCGCGGACAGACAACTGACGTGGAACTGGTTGCGGTGTGCTCGAGGGCTCGACACGGGATGTTAGGCATACTCAAGTACATGTCGTGGAACTATCACACAGAACAGATGCGAGACCGTTACGAGGGACGCGCGCGAGTTCTTGACCATCAAGTGGGGTGATGCGAGGATGCAGGGCTCGCACGAGGGCTCGACGCAGGATGCGGGGCTTGCACGAGGGCTCGATACGGGATGTGGGGTGCGCCCAAATACGCGACATGGAACCATCATGCGGAACTGCGTGGGGTAGCCGGCGCAGGCAGGGCGGGGTCCTTCGGGCAGATGGATTTATGTGTTATTTTGGGTGATTCCTGAGTTTTTGGGTCAACCCGAACCCGACTCGATTTTTCAAACGGGTCAGTTTTCTAGACCTGAACCGATCCGCTTTGAGTTTGGGTCAACCAAAACCCAAAACTTTTTGGTAGGGTTCGGGTCGTGTCCAATATTGACAGCTCTAGAAGTAAATTTTAATTTATCCACCTTGGTAAGCTATTGTAGAGGGCGGATGAATATTTGCTTTAAGTGTTTGATAGTGTTGTTTCAATTCTAAATATTCTAAATTTGAATGACTTTGATATTTTTGGAGTTTTGGATTTTTGGATATTCTTCCTCGGGCCATCGTGGTCCCTGGTCTACTTATTTAGAGGAGGTAGTCGACCCAACTTTATAAAAGGATCCATGTCGGCAGCCATAGATTGCTTCGTCCAAGGGTACCTTATAGATCTAGGATGAGTATTTGTCAAAGGGGACAAATTTGAATCCAACTTAGCTAATAGAGGGCTTTGTGCCCAATTAATCATATCTTATTGATTCATATCTCAAGGATTTGATGCCACTAAGGAGCGTATTGGCTCTAGCCATAACCTGTATTTCGTTGTGCCATTTGACGGCAAAACCACTCTGTTCAGAGGGCCCTGGGTCATAGTCATTTGTCTTGTGGTGCCATTTAGTGACAAAACTGCCAGTCATAGGACACATACCACATCCTTACTGACAATAGATTGTTTGAGAATAAATCCTAGTGATATTTTTGACTAGGAATTAGCTCATTGTGAGCTGAAGAAAATTTTAATTTATCCACCCTAGCAAACTATTAGGGAGGGTGGATGGATATTTGCTTTAAGAGTTTGATAGTACTGTTTTAATTTTAAATATTATGGATTTGAATGACTTTGGCATTTCTGGAGTTTTGGATTTTTGTAAGTATTTGGGTGGAGCTTATAAGGCATTTAAAAATATTTGTGAACTCCTCCGGTTGAAATAAATATTAAACATGGCCATTATTGGGATGTTTTGGGATTATTATATTTTCAAAAATTTGCATTTTGTGGATGAATCTTGTCAACTTTATCGAGCTGCAGATATAGGATATGGTTTTGTAGGCTTTATGCCTTTATTAGTGAATTCTCATATAATATGAATATATTATGGAAATTCTGGTTATCACCACTATCTATTTATTTGATGGTTCAAATCCTATCGACTCCTATTGATCTGTATAGAAGAGTTGTGTTTCGTAGGCTTTATGCCTTTATTAGTGAATTCATAATGTTATAGGCCTTGAAGGCCTAATATGAATATACTAAAGTAAACATACCGGTCACCACAACCATGTATTTTTTTGATGGTTCAAACCCTGTCAACTCCTATTGATTCTTATAGAAGGATCGGGTTTGTACTTGAATTTACTTAATGACCCGCGTAAAATCCCTAGACTTCACGTGTGTATCAATAACACGCTCGCAGGGGCCCATGCGGGTGTTTGGAGGTATTTTATAATTATACTTTGTCTACTCCTTTTTTTATCTACTTAGGGGGATCGGGTTCAAATTTGATAACCCGCGTAGCATCGTTAGACGTCATGTGTGTACCAATAATATGCTCGACGTGGCCCATGCGTGTGTTTGGGGGCATTTTATAGTTATTTGCTAAACCTTGTCGACTCCTGTTTATATGCTTAGGAGGATCGAGTTTAAATTTATTGACTCGAGCAGCATTCCTAGATGTCACGTGTGTACAATAACATGCTCGTAGGGGCCCATACAGTTATTTTGATTATAATTACCTCTTTGTGTACCAATGTGTAAATTGACTACGGTGCGGTGTATGGGTATTCTTGGAATATTTGTAACTACCTTTTGGCTTCTTATAGGGATGTTGCGGATCTTGTGGTGTGGCGTAGCAGCTTATAGATTGAGTTGTTCGTTGTTTTGTACAGGTAAATTGTCATGTACTACATGTTACTTTCTGTAGGTGGATCATAGTGCACTAACAAATCTCCTGCTTTATGTTTGTCGATGCTTACATTAATTATAATACTTTCATATTTTCTTGTAGATAGTATACTATGCGTACAACGAGTTTTCTACAGTGACTCATAGGAGCTTCCATTTGTTCATAAATAGTTTTCAATATTCATAGCGGGGCTCCAGTAGAAGCTCATGGGAGCTTGTATCTGTTGTATTCTTTATGCACTTTGTTGTGGTCTTTGGCTCATGTAGTGCATCCACCACTGTTACAAGTAGACAAGTAGATGTATTCTTTCACATACTAAAATTGACTACATTATACTGCATTTAATTAAGTCTTTCTGTATCTACCCATAATTGGCATGTGGCACATTCATCTATCTTTATAAAGAGCTTGTATGTATTGCAGATCTTTTTATCTGCTAAGAGAAAGTATCAAGTACGTATGGTGGACCTCTTGTAACAATTTGATAGCACTTATATTTAATATATTTCTTTTACACTTACACATACCCATAGAAAACAAGTTGAAAGTGTAATGGGTCTTCTACAACTATTCACATGTGTCTGCATTTATCACTACTCTTCTATAATCGTGTAGGACGAGTTTCTCACAGCAGCTCGTAGGCACTTTGTATTTGTTGCATATTCTTCTACATAGCATCTTTTATGTGCATCTGCATTCATAAGAAACTTATATATAATGCGGACTTTCTATCCTTACCTGCGGAGATTTTGTGTATTTTCTTATACCCTTTTTAATGCTCGTAGCAACTCCCACTTGTGTCTTCTTGATACTACAAGCTTTTGTTAGTGCTTGCAAATGAATATATTTTCCTGTATTTTGATGTTGAATGCAATGTATCATTGC